CTGTGAAGCCTTTGCCTGTTGGTAGCACTGCCTTGGGTAGGGATATCAGTTGGTCACACAACTCCATCAGTGAGTTGAGCATGGTGTTTGGGTCGAAAAAAATGTATTAATGTATTTCCATCCTTTTTCTTTCCTTGCAGGTTTTTATTTTTCAGGTGCTTGAATCTTGGGTGAGTTTTGAATAGAGCATAGATATAAAGGTAGCATGTCACCCCACCCAGTGTTCACCAAGAAATCCCATGTCTGAAGTTCACAATACTGGTCTAGCCAGCCAGTGGAAGGGGCTGATGCTGGGAGAGTAATGGTTACAGCACTGATGGGGCCATGCAGGTAGCAGTAACCTGTAGCAGGTTAATAAGTTATTTTAGATAAATGCCATTTTTAATTATTCAGATGTATTGCATGTTTTCTATTTTCTTTTTGGATGTCTCCAGCACTAATTTTGACTACCAGTCTCTGCCTATTGGTAGCACTGCCTTTGGGTTTTAGAGGAAGTGGTTCGACCTGTGCTTGGAGAAACCTTAACACCAGTGTGTCAAACTGTGAAGCCTTTGCCTGTTGGTAGCACTGCATTGGGTATGGATATCAGTTGGGCACACAACTCCATCAGTTGGTTGAGCACGGTGTTTAGGTCGAAAAAAATGTAATAATAAATTTCCATGCTTTTTCTTTTATAGCAGGATTTTTTTTCAGGTGCTTGAATCTTGGGTGAGTTTTGAATAGAGCGTAAATAGGAAGGTAGCATGTCACCCCACCCAGTGTTCACCAAGAAATCCCATGTCTGAAGTTCACAATACTGGTCTAGCCAGCCAGTGGCAGAGGCTGATGCTGGGAGAGTAATGGTTACAGCACTGATGGGGCCATGCAGGTAGCAGTAACCTGTAGCAGGTTAATTAGTTGTGTTATTTTAGATAAATGCCATTTTTAATTAATCAGATGTATTGCATGTTTTCTATTTACTGTTTGGATACATCCATCACTAATTTTGACTACCAGTCTCTGCCTATTTGTAGCACTGCCTTTGGGTTTGAGAGGAAGTGGTTCGACCTGTGCTTGGAGAAACCTTAACACCAGTGTGTCAAACTGTGAAGCCTTTGCCTGTTGGTAGCACTGCCTTGGGTAGGGATATCAGTTGGGCACACAACTCCATCAGTGGATTGAGCACGGTGTTTGGGTCGAAAAAAATGTATTAATATATTTCCATGCTTTTTCTCCCCTTGCAGGTTTTTATTTTTCAGGTGCTTGAATCTTGGGTGAGTTTTGAATAGAGCATAAATAGGAAGATAGCATGTCACCCCACCCAGTGTTCACATAGAAATCCCATGTCTGAAGTTCACAATACTGGTCTAGCCAGCCAGTGGAAGGGGCTGATGCTGGGAGAGTAATGGTTACAGCACTGATGGGGCCATGTAATGTAGCAGTAGCCTGTAGCAGGTTAATTAGTTGTGTTATTTTAGATAAATGCCATTTTTAATTAATCAGATGTATTGCATGTTTTCTATTTACTGTTTGGATACATCCATCACTAATTTTGACTACCAGTCTCTGCCTATTGGTAGCACTGCCTTTGGGTTTGAGAGGAAGTGGTTCGACCTGTGCTTGGAGAAACCTTAACACCAGTGTGTCAAACTGTGAAGCCTTTGCCTGTTGGTAGCACTGCCTTGGGTAGGGATATCAGTTGGGCACACAACTCCATCAGTAGGTTGAGCACTGTGTTTGGGTCGAAAAAAATGTATTAATATATTTCCATGCTTTTTCTCCCCTTGCAGGTTTTTATTTTTCAGGTGCTTGAATCTTGGGTGAGTTTTGAATAGAGCATAAATAGGAAGATAGCATGTCACCCCACTCAGTGTTCACATAGAAATCCCATGTCTGAAGTTCACAATACTGGTCTAGCCAGCCAGTGGCAGGGGCTGATGCTGGGAGAGTAATGGTTACAGCACTGATGGGGCCATGCAGGTAGCAGTAACCTGTAGCAGGTTAATTAGTTATGTTATTTTAGATAAATGCCATTTTTAATTAATCAGATGTATTGCATGTTTTCTATTTTCTTTTTGGATGTCTCCAGCACTAATTTTGACTACCAGTCTCTGCCTATTGGTAGCACTGCCTTTGGGTTTGAGAGGAAGTGGTTCGACCTGTGCTTGGAGAAACCTTAACACCAGTGTGTCAAACTGTGAAGCCTTTGCCTGTTGGTAGCACTGCCTTGGGTAGGGATATCAGTTGGGCACACAACTCCATCAGTGGGTTATGCACGGTGTTTAGGTCGAAAAAAATGTAATGATAAATTTCCATGCTTTTTCTTCTATAGCAGGATTTTTTTTCAGGTGCTTGAATCTTGGGTGAGTTTTGAATAGAGCATAGATAGAAAGGTAGCATGTCACCCCACCCAGTGTTCACCAAGAAATCCCATGTCTGAAGTTCACAATACTGGTCTAGCCAGCCAGTGGTGGGGGCTGATGCTGGGAGAGTAATGGTTACAGCACTGATGGGGCCATGCAGGTAGCAGTAACCTGTAGCAGGTTAATTAGTTATTTAAGATAAATGCCATTTTTAAAAAATCAGATGTATTGCATGTTTTCTATTTACTGTTTGGATACATCCATCACTAATTTTGACTACCAGTCTCTGCCTATTGGTAGCACTGCCTTTGGGTTTGAGAGGAAGTGGTTTGACCTGTGCTTGGAGAAACCTTAACACCAGTGTGTCAAACTGTGAAGCCTTTGCCTGTTGGTAGCACTGCCTTGGGTAGGGATATCAGTTGGTCACACAACTCCATCAGTGGGTTGAGCACGGTGTTTAGGTCGAAAAAAATGTAATAATTTCCATGCTTTTTCTTCTATAGCAGGATTTTTTTCAGGTGCTTGAATCTTGGGTGAGTTTTGAATAGAGCATAGCATAAATAGGAAGGTAGCATGTCACCCCACCCAGTGTTCACCAAGAAATCCCATGTCTGAAGTTCACAATACTGGTCTAGCCAGCCAGTGGCGGGGGCTGATGCTGGGAGAGTAATGGTTACAGCACTGATGGGACCATGCAGAGCATCTGTAGCCTGTAGCAGGTTAATTAGTTGTGTTATTTTAGATAAATGCCATTTTTAATTAATCAAATGTATTGCATGTTTTCTATTATCTTTTTGGATGTCTCCAGCACTAATTTTGACTACCAGTCTCTGCCTATTGGTAGCACTGCCTTTGGGTTTTAGAGGAAGTGGTTCGACCTGTGCTTGGAGAAACCTTAACACCAGTGTGTCAAACTGTGAAGCCTTTGCCTGTTGTTAGCACTGCCTTGGGTAGGGATATCAGTTGGTCACACAACTCCATCAGTGGGTTGAGCATGATGTTTGGGTAAAAAAAAAATGTATAAATATATTTGCATGCTCTTTCCTCTATAGCAGGATTTTTTTTCAGGTGCTTGAATCTTGGTGAGTTTTGAATAGAGCATAAATAAGAAGGTAGCATGTCAGCCCACCCAGTGTTCACCAAGAAATCTCATGTCTGAAGTTCACAATACTGGTCTAGCCAGCCAGTGGCGGGGGCTGATGCTGGGAGAGTAATGGTTACAGCACTGATGGGACCATGCAGAGCATCTGTAGCCTGTATCAGGTCAATTAGTTATGTTATTTTAGATAAATGCCATTTTTAATTAATCAAATGTATTGCATGTTTTCTATTTTCTTTTTGGATCTCTCCAGCAATGATTTTGACTACCAGTCTCTGCCTATTGGTAGCACTGCCTTTGGGTTTGAGAGGAAGTGGTGTGACCTGTGTTTGGAGAAACCTTAACATCAGTGTGTCAAACTGTGAAGCCTTTGCTTGTTGGTAGCACTGCCTTGGGTAGGGATATCAGTTGGTCACACAACTCCATCAGTGGGTTGAGCATGGTGTTTGGGTTAAAAAAAATGTATTAATATATTTCCATGCTCTTTCCTCTATAACAGGATTTTTTTTTCAGGTGCTTGATGCTTGGTGAGTTTTGAATAGAGCATAGCATAAATAGGAAGGTAGCATGTCAGCCCACCCAGTGTTCACCAAGAAATCCCATGTCTGAAGTTCACAATACTGGTCTAGCCAGCCAGTGGCGGGGGCTGATGCTGGGAGAGTAATGGTTACAGCACTGATGGGACCATGCAGAGCATCTGTAGCCTGTAGCAGGTCAATTAGTTGTGTTATTTTAGATAAATGCCATTTTTCATCAGATGTATTACAGGTTTTTTAGGTTAATTTTTTCTTCCTTAGCTTACCCCAATTATTTCAAGAGAAACAGAAGTCTATACAGGCAAGTCGACTATATAGTTATACATTTTTAGCATTTTGTAAAGCATCTTAATTAAATACTTTAATTCTATTCTACACCTTAAACTTGGGCTATCAAACTTTTTTTTAACTAAAGAGGATTATCAGGGAATGTTTAATGTTTCATTTCATTTTTATTTACTTTTAATTGTTGGTTTTCTTTCTATTAATAGGTATTTAGAAAATCCCAGCCAACACATCTTAGACCTAGAGAAATGCATGGTTAAGAAAGGCAGGTTGACCTTTACCTTCAGTTTTAATTCTTGAACAACAATTATACTTTTATATTATAATTTTTTTTTGTCCACTATGGATTCCAATTTATTTTAAGGATCTATGAGGATCTCCCCCCCCCCCCCTAATTAACAGCTCTTTTTATATTTTTTACAGGACTACTTAATTTTTAAACTGGACAAAGCATAAATCTGACCTGTTGTCCTGCCTGATGAAGGAATTAAAAGATAGTAAGATGTTTAAGGTAACTTTATCATAACCTTTTAATACCTAATATTTTATAGCCCTTTTGACATATGTATTGACTATTTTAATTTTGCTTACTAAATTTTATTTACTACTACACCCCCCTCCCCAACCAGGAATAGTAATGAACTGTTAGTTTTTCTTGTTTTTACTATGACTGTGTATAACACTACTTTTTTTTTTTTTACTCAAGATGTGTTTAGAGCATGATGTGTTTAGAGATGTGTTGAGATGTTTCAAGCAAAGCCTAGGTATGATGTCAAGTTTTTCATATTTCCTCCCCTTGGCTGATATCATGTGTTGTCAAGAAGATTCAATGTTCTAAATGGGTAGATACTTAATTTTAATTAGCAGTGCTTTAAGCAGCTCTCATTTATTGTAATTTTATTGTCCACAAATTGACAAGTTTTTTTCTTTCAGGACCCATGAAACTCCACAAGCAGGATGTTTATTCCTCAAATTTCACTATGGTTTTGTAGCTGTTTACATTATTTTGTGCCACAAGAGAAGCTTACTTCCCTTGGCTGATTTCAATAGAGGCAAATTGTTCAAGACAGGTGGTTTGACTATTTTTTTTTCATTTTCAATTTTTTACACAACTCTCTTTAAAAGTTACTGCCAATTTTTCTTATAAACAGTACATTAAAAAAAAATGTCCTCCCCCCCCCCCCACCCCTCATTATGAAAGATCAAGTTTGTGTCAAACCTGGTTTATGATGTACAGCATAGGACAGAAGCTACAAGACTGAAAGAACACAGGTTGTTCTTGAAGGTAAACTGACCATAGCCTTTTTTAGACAAAAATTGTGTAGTTATTTTGTCATGGTGAGAATCATTAACTTTCATTTATTTTTGCACACACTTTATTTTTATAAGTAGGACAGCATGGCCTATAGGCTACAGTGCAAACCCGAAAGCCTTGTTCGAATCAGTGTTTAAAGCAGTAGAACATCCCTGAGTTCACTCAGCTCTGATGGGTACCTAACTCAAGTTAGGGAAAGTAACGGCAGCTGGGCATAGTGCTGACCACACTATCCCTCCATAAACCAGGGTCTCAGAAACGGGTGAACTACTTCACTTGCCTTATATTTGAAAAGGGATCTTTTACTTATTTCTTACTTTAGCTCCACAAATGTCAGTAATAACTAATCTGTAAATTTTGATTTCAGTATAATTGTGTATAGGACTACTTGTGTTTTTCTACATATTTAATATAGTTGAGCATGATGTTTGAGGTAAAGCAGCCAAGGGAAGACACTCTAACATGATTTAATGTGCAGTGCTAAAGGAAACTTGTTCAAGGCAGGGAGATAGACCATAGTTTTTTAAAATTTGAAACTATTCAAAATTTATTATATTGCTTGTGAATTTGCACACTATTTTTTACTTTTTCTAAGAGTTATGAAGACACCATAAATATCATTTTTAAAATCTTATTTTCATTCTGATTGTGTGGACTTTGTATTTTACTTTCAGCCATCCATGACCCAAAGGTTTTCCAGGTGAATAGAGGAACATCCTCCAGTCATGTATAGGAAATTAAATGGCAGTTTGTGAAAGTCACACAGTTCTGTCTTCATTGAAAACTTACACAAGTGTTCTAATGTACCACAATTTTGGTAAGTCTATGTTAATGGCTAGATTCCATTCCTTTCTTTATACAAACTCTACATGAAAAATTATTTCTTTTAAATTGCAACTTCTAATTTTGTTTCAATCTATCTGTATGTTACTGTGCCAGTGAGACTGTGCAAGTTACATTAAATATTTTGTTCTTTTCTCTTCTAGTTGGTTGTCCCAAGTTTCCAGTGATTGCCAAGTGGATGTAAAAGAAAGTACAAGTGCCATCTTTGGATTTTTATAGAATAAAATATCTAAATATTGATCTTGTTCTCTTTCATTATTCAAGAGCGTATGAATGGATTAGATAGTATTTGTCTGATTTGTTTGTGTAGTAGAATGTCTATAGTATGACAGGGCGAAATAATGATTTAGTAGATAGGACAGTTGGCAAGTAGGCAAGGATCACATCAAGTCTACCAGAATTCTATACTCGGCACATTGCCAATACACGAGTTTCCTCGTCACTTGTAGCAAGTTAGACTACTTGCATAGATGTTTACTGTAATACATACTGGACAGTAATAAGTCGACTGTCAGTATACATGCTTGGAAAGTTTAAAAACATCTTGAAGCTGAATGTGTCATTTTAAAGACTTGGCACATCATACCAATTAATGAATAACTGTAGACCAACAGTTTTGACCCATCTCATGTTAGAAAGAAATCTGAGTAAAAACCTGCAATTAATGAAAGAGGTTTGTAAGGTGACTATGAAGAGCTGATCAGTCTCCCTAACTCTGCATTACATGCTAAGATTATCTCTCCCTGCTAGGTTTAAGCTGCATTTCGATTGGCATCTCTTAGTCTTGTAGCATATTGTGCTCCAGAAATAAGGCGACGTATTGAGGATTTGGGGGATTGGCAGTAAAGTTAAAAGTTTTGGTTTGTTACACAATCCTACAACAACCACTGTCGTGCGTTAAGATTCAGTTGTGTCGTGGAGAGGGGGGGGGGGGGAAGCTTCGCGTGTATGACTTAGGGATGGGGTTACTGTATCATCACTACAAAATAGCACAGGTAAAAGATGGAGAGGAGGATTTCTGTATAATCACCAAAAAAATAGTACAAGTAAGAAAGAAACAAGGTAATTAAAAAGTCTAGTGACAATTTTAGCGTAATTTCCTTATGTTATCTAAAAATAGCTCTGTCGTAGCGTAAATCAAGAGCAGGGTTAGTAAAACCATTGGTTAGTTATTAAAACGTTTTTTATTAATTTTTTTCAGTATTTTACATGTTTTTATTTACAATAGTTACATTACTAAAAACCATTGCGCGCCTACTGAACGTGATGGCGCAGCCATGGAACGCGATGGCGCAGCTATTGAACGTGATGACGCGTGTGGTGTGGTTGGAAAAAATGCCTACTAATTCGGTCCAAATTTTAATTAATTCAAAATTTTTTTTGTGACCGAACGAAAGGATATTTTTGAAAACTTTCTTCGGCAATATTGTTCTAAATTATGGCAGGAATCGATTGGTACATGTTTCAAGTCGCTTAGTGGTCTGGTTGCCGAGATATGGGCCAAAAACTGCATTTTTTCGAGGTTTTTTGGCTTTTCCGGGAAATCCATGAAAGAAACCCGTAATTTTTATGGCCTATGTTCATCCTCGTAACTTGCTTAACATAATTGCTTTTGGAACTAGTCATCGATATTGCTTCGTTGAGGAGGAGATACGACTTAAAGCCCGGACACACATTCATCTATACATTCATACATTCATCCATTCATTCATCCATCCATTCCCAGAAATGACGAGTTAATAAACGCAATTCTCCAGAATGGAAATTGCGCTAAAAAGGGGAGGGAGTGTAATTAGAAGTGTATAAATAGTTGATGAAAATTTATTTGTTCCACACAGACTTTTATTACAGACACACGGTCTTACCCCGGAAATAATGCACGCAAAATTTAGACTTTTTAAAAATGTCAGCAGAAGTAGCTTATAATTATAAAACTATCGGCAACAAAGCGCGCTTTGTCTGATTATGGCAGTCGGTGTACTAAGGTCTATTGGTAAGTCGTAAGTCATGTCTAATGTTCTAAAGTATGTCTACACTAGGGTGTAAAGACAAACACTCACAAACACACACAAACAAGTCACAAGTCATGTCTGTACCAAGATCAAGGGGCAAGCACTCTAAGTCACAAGTCATGCCTACGCTATGGTGTAGCGTATGGACTGACTAGCACTTTTAGTCGTAAGTCATGTCTACATTAAGGTCTAAAGGCAAGCACTCTAAGTCATATGCTAGTCATGTGCAATCACTATCAGTCATAATTCATGTCTAAGTTATTTTTGCAAGCACTTTAAGTCATGTCATGAATTGTCATGTCTACACAAGCATCCTAAGAGATTTCTACAGCAAGTCATACGTCATGTCCACACTAAGGCCAGCCTTCCCCCCTAAACTTAGTGGACCTTCTCTGACACCCCATTAACCAACAAACACCCCCCCCCCAATTAACCTACTCCCCCCACCCCACATACAGATTGTATAGTCATGCAAATCATTCGTTGGGTTCTATCTAACAAGTTCGTCATTCTATTTGAGAACGCATGAATTATTCAGTGGATGACATTAACCTTGGGTTTTTACCCCCAAGTTATATAATATATTATATATGCTAGCGGCAAACTATGAGAACCAGACATTCTGTAGAATGTCTAGGCAATGTATACAATCAAGTATGGGAAATCCTGTAGATCATATACAGGAGCAGTCAAGTAAGAAACAGTCAAGTACGGGAGCAGTTAGGTACGGGAGTCAAGTACGGGAGCAGTTAGGTACGGGAGTCAAGTACGGGAGCAGTTAGGTACGGGAGTCAAGTACGGGAGCAGTTAAGTACGGGAGTCAAGTACGGGAGCAGTTAGGTACGGGAGTCAAGTACGGGAGCAGTTAAGTACGGCAGCAGTTAGGTACGGGAGTCAAGTACGGGAGCAGTTAGGTACGGGAGTCAAGTACGGGAGCAGTTAGGTACGGGAGTCATGTACGGGAGCAGTTAGGTACGGGAGTCAAGTACGGGAGCAGTTAGGTACGGGAGTCATGTACGGGAGCAGTTAGGTACGGGAGTCAAGTACGGGAGCAGTTAGGTACGGGAGTCAAGTACGGGAGCAGTTAGGTACGGAAGCAGTTAGGTACGGGAGTCAAGTACGGGAGCAGTTAGGTACGGGAGTCAAGTACGGGAGCAGTTAGGTACGGGAGCATTAGGTACGGGAGTAGTTCGGTACAGGAGTCAAGTACGGGAGCAGTTAGGTACGGGAGTCAAGTACGGGAGCAGTTAGGTACGGGAGTCAAGTACGGGAGCAGTTAGGTACGGGAGTCAAGTACGGGAGCAGTTAGGTACGGGAGTCAAGTACGGGAGTCAAGTACGGGAGCAGTTAGGTACGGGAGTCAAGTACGGGAGCAGTTAGGTACGGGAGTCAAGTACGGGAGCAGTTAGGTACGGGAGTCAAGTACGGGAGCAGTTAGGTACGGGAGCATTAGGTACGGGAGTAGTTCAGTACGGGAGTCAAGTACGGGAGCAGTTAGGTACGGGAGTCAAGTACGGGAGCAGTTAGGTACGGGAGTCAAGTACGGGAGCAGTTAGGTACGGGAGTCAAGTACGGGAGCAGTTAGGTACGGGAGTCAAGTACGGGAGCAGTTAGGTACGGGAGTCAAGTACGGGAGTCAAGTACGGGAGCAGTTAGGTACGGGAGTCAAGTACGGGAGCAGTTAGGTACGGGAGTCAAGTACGGGAGCAGTTAGGTACGGGAGTCAAGTACGGGAGCAGTTAGGTACGGGAGTCAAGTACGGGAGCAGTTAGGTACGGGAGTCAAGTACGGGAGCAGTTAGGTACGGGAGTCAAGTACGGGAGCAGTTAGGTACGGGAGTCAAGTACGGGAGCAGTTAGGTACGGGAGTCAAGTACGGGAGTCAAGTACGGGAGCAGTTAGGTACGGGAGTCAAGTACGGGAGCAGTTAGGTACGGGAGTCAAGTACGGGAGCAGTTAGGTACGGGAGCAGTTAGGTACGGGAGTCAAGTACGGGTGCAGTTAGGTACGGAAGTCAAGTACGGGAGCAGTTAGGTACGGGAGTCATGTACGGGAGCAGTTAGGTACGGGAGTCAAGTACGGGAGCAGTTAGGTACGGGAGTCAAGTACGGGAGCAGTTAGGTACGGAAGCAGTTAGGTACGGGAGTCAAGTACGGGAGCAGTTAGGTACGGGAGTCAAGTACGGGAGCAGTTAGGTACGGGAGTCAAGTACGGGAGCAGTTAGGTACGGGAGTCAAGTACGGGAGCAGTTAGGTACGGGAGTCAAGTACGGGAGCAGTTAGGTACGGGAGTCAAGTACGGGAGCAGTTAGGTACGGGAGTCAAGTACGGGAGTCAAGTACGGGAGCAGTTAGGTACGGGAGTCAAGTACAGGAGTCAAGTACGGGAGCAGTTAGGTACGGGAGTCAAGTACAGGAGCAGCTAGGTACGGGAGTCAAGTACGGGAGTCAAGTACGGGATCAGTTAGGTACGGGAGTCAAGTACGGGAGCAGTTAGGTACGGGAGTCAAGTACGGGAGCAGTTAGGTACGGGAGTCAAGTACAGGAGCAGCTAGGTACGGGAGTCAAGTACGGGAGTCAAGTACGGGAGCAGTTAGGTACGGGAGTCAAGTACGGGAGCAGTTAGGTACGGAAGCAGTTAGGTA